ATCTTATTTTTGCATGATTATATTATGCTTGCATGGTATTATTTGTATAATGATTTTTGTTTATTTTAATTGAGTTTTTTCTCTTTTAAATAAAAAAAGGGTTTTCGAAAAAAATATTTTCAATCCTACCAAACTATCGGGGGATTTAAATATTGAATTAAGTATTATCAAACTATTGGAGGACTTAATGAATTTTCTTGAAAAAATATTTTGTAAAAATCCTAACAACATATTGGAGAATAATTCTTAAAGGAAAATCTTACCAACATATTGAAAGATATTTTTTAAAATAAATTGTTTTCACAAATAAAAATTTTTTTTACAAAAAAAATTAAATAAATTTAATGACGGAACCTCTTCAGAGTAGGACATTAGTTTCCACGAAAACTCATGAGGTGAGAAAATTACTTTAAATTACTACCAAACTATTAGAGTAATTTTAAGATCAATTTTCAATAATTAAATTATTTGGTAAAATTATAAAAAGACTTTAAGGCTTGGATAACTTAAAATCAAACTAGTACTATCTTTTGGACGGGCATTGTGAATGTGCTATAACCTTCCTCACACATAACTGCACTCATGAACCTAAATTTAGTTTAATATACTAGAATCTATCTTTTAAAGATACCCAAATCAAGTTTGAAACTCTTCTTTAAAATGGGATAGAATCAATCAGGTAATCAATCACACCTAACAAAAAAGATTGGTGGTGACTTCTTTAATTCATGTCTAGCAAATAATCCACAAATCTATATGTTAATATAATATCCAAAAACTTATCACTCATTGTAGACATTAACTTATGATGACATTTTTTTCAATATATTAAAATTGAGTACAAAGACCAATCAATAATCTAAGTAGATAAGACTTTAATCAAGTTAATATCTTTACTAGTCTTATCAAAATAATGAAGGTGCCATATTATAAATTTAATCTTGGGTATTCTTTTAAAGAAAATATATCATAACTTTGTGTGATCACACTTTAAAATAATGAAAAATACAAAAACTTTCAAAAATATATTCCTTTTGGGTAGATAAATTCCCTAGGTCTATGCATATTTTCACTTCATAAAATATTTCACAATTATCTCTAAATTAAAAACATATAATCACCATTTCGTAAGTAATCATGTAGTAACTCAGAGACAAACCATAACAACGTAAAAAAATTCATTATTATTATAGTTCTTATGTTTATTTATGCATTTGATTATTTTAAGTGAGATACTAATCTAAATGTACATCTATAAATCCAAAAAGTTAAAACTTAGAATGGCTATTATCATTTATGCACCTTAAAATTTTCAAGTCATACTCCATAATCATGCTTTCAATCAATATAAATACTTAGTGAGCCATACTACCAAGTAAATTGTTTTAACAATTAATAATACTTTATTATAGCATTTCAATCTTTAAGCATGACTATAAGAAATTTAAAAATAAAAAAATTGATTGGCCACAAAGAATATCTTCCAATGTAGGTACTTTATACATGAAATTCAACAAAGTCTACAATTTTCATACAATAAATCTCAACATACAATATATGATGAATGTCAACAATGCATATTTTTTTAGACAATTATATACAAATAATGATTATGGTATAAACCAATCTCATGTCATGTAAAGAATATAATATTTTCAATATTACCAAATACGAGTTGTGATAAAAAAACATTAAGGCTAGTTAACCTAGCAAGCCTTAACAACAGAACATTTTAGTCAAAACTTTTAATATTTGAAATTTGCAAAATTAATTTTGCCTACTTTTGTAGATTAAAACTTTTATATATATCTATTTACTTTCACAACTCACTTATCCAGGATCTTTATGGAAATATTTACCAAATTTCATGATACTAAAAGCATGTTCTAAATACTTACTAAGAAATAATCTTTTACTTGTTGCTTTCTCAACATATTATAAAACAAATATTTTATGAGAGCATACTTGATTTAGTAAGTATTTTGTAAAAGCAAAAAGATTTTAAAAGCTAGTCTAATAATTTATGTGAAACAAATTTACTATGCAATTATTTAACATATGTTATTACTCTATAACATAATTGCATAATCTTAAAAATAATACTCTCCCACTATTTTAGCAGACTAACATAAAATTTAAATGTCATTCATAAATCATTATAGCCAATAATATGTTTCATATTTTCATGAAAAAATGAGTTTCTTAAATATATATCACATTATGCATTATATTAGACTTTAAACTTAATGCCTAAAATTTCAAAACATAATTATGTGATATATATATATATATAACTAAAACATTGTAGGCATGCTAAACGTGTTTATCACATATAACACATACTCTCAAAAGAACCAAACTTAATTTCACATGTCACATTTTACAAAGTATGATCACTCATAAAATCACTTTATCAAACAATGATATATCGAAATAAAGTAATATATCAGACTTATTGATCATGCATATGACAATTATTTTAATGGATTCATATGACTTAGACAATATTTTATAATCACAAAATATGACATTTCAACAATTGGATTATAATCAACAAAATCTTAAATACTTAACATATCCAAGAAAACAATCATGACTTAATTAAGCTCTAAATCACTTTTATCACTCTTAATTAGAACTACTTAATTTTTATCACCAAATTAACTTTAATATTCAAGACAAAAAATGTAACTTTTCACATATAAGCAATAATCCATACAAATAGCACTAGCTCATAATGTGTTATTTGTAATCAAACTGAAAAATCCAAATGCATCACACAAATTCCCTTTTAAAGCAGAGAATGTAATATGTTGTTAGACACTTTTCACATAAAGCTAATATGAAAATATCTTAGTTTTTGAAAAGTTTATCCTTTCTAGGTAGACAGACCTTTAAGACCAGTCCTTCAACCATGATGCTTTATGCTCCCCAAATAACCCCATTTAGGCAAGTGATTGTATAAGGTAATTTGAAAATATTCATGTTCTTACGTATGAAAAAATCTTGCAAGCTCAATTAGTAAGCCACTTTGGTAACCAAACACCTACATTAGCTAATTATATATTTTCACACCGAGAAACTTAGTTTGCTCATAAATATAATTTTGTATACTTAACTAAGTGCATGCATTTTGAGTACTCTTTGTGAGATACTTAACCATAATGTATCTTTTAAGGTCATTAAAGAGTCAATCGCTCCATATATGACACCAATAATTAAAGTGTATATTTATAGATTATTATAGTTATAATTGCTCCTTGTGAGATACCTAAACCGAATATGTCTCTTTGGATCATTAAATACTTAAAAAATTATCATTCCTATATGAGACAATAATAATTAAATTGTATCTCGATGGACCATTATAAATATGATCTCTTTTGCGAAATATTTAACCGAATGTGTCTCACTAGATAAAATTAATTTATTACATTCAAACCAAGTGTCTTGAATTTTATAAATAATTTAATATTTTCAATCAATACTTTATTCTTATGTATTTTGTACCAAAAATTTTACAAATTAACAATGATACATAATATCAACATAGTCATCAGAAACATAAATTAGTGTAGGCAATATTATAAACTCCAATTATTCCAAATGAATAATTATTCAAAATTATTTGTTAAATGAAATTACCAAATAAAATTATTAATTTAATACTAACTATACCAAAACCTTATGGATTTTAAACCTAATTTATATTTCAAGCTAATGCATGTTGCATTTTAAATGGATAGCCAAAAATTAATAAAAATAAATTTGACTAAATTTATTCAATTATGCACATAACTTTAGGCCAAGAATGTGTAAATTTTAAATAATATTAGAAAGAGTATGTACCTCTAATAGATTCATAGCATATCAAAATATTTTATCCTGAAATAATTTTTCAAAAAATATGTGCATAACATATAATAATTAATGAATTATGCATGAATATAAAATATAAAATATTTCATGCATTCAAAAAAGTATAGAAAAATAATAAAAAAATCAAAAATAAAATTTCAAGCAGGATAAAAGCAACCGGAGCAAAAATGACCACCAGGGTAAGCCACGCTCTCTGCACGTGGCACCATCTATGAGTGGGCTTTGTCCTGAATCTATTAGGAGGTTGTCTTTAACCTCTAACCGAGTCAGCCCGACCTAGTTGGATCTTGTTCTGACCTGTTTGGATTTGTTTCTTGTTTTAAGCTCAATTTTGATGCTTTTTCTTATGTTTTTCATGAAATTGAAGTTTTCAAAACTCAATCAAGCCATTATTTCATCAAACCAATGTGAAAAACACATCAAAAACTACAAAAATAAGATCGATTGACCAAAAAAAACTTGATTGTTAAACCCATATTTAACCCGTTTCAAGCCTTTTCCAAAATTTATGGTTTTCTTTGGTTTTTTATGTAATTGAATCTTCCAAACTTCAATTAACATATATATTTACAAAGCCCATACTTCAAATTGCATCAAAACACCATGAATTAACATCAATTTGAGCTAAAATTTTTGGATGAAAAGCCATACATAACCCGTTTATGGTTTCTTCTCAATTTTTCAATTAAAACTCAAATTTTATACAATTAAAACATATATTTCAATCTTAAAGCACATAGGTAACAATAATCAAGTGTCAATTTGGATTAAAACACATAAGATATCAAAGTTTTAATAAAATCTTGAATTTGATTCAAATCTTGAACAAAAAACTTTAAATCTTGATTTCTCTCTATATGATGAATTAAGAAACAATCCATAACATGATTTTAATCCTCTCAAAAGGAGAACAAAAACCCCAAATCAATTTTGGAAAAAACAAGATCAAAAATTCAGATTGCGATAATTATAAATTTTCGTCCCAAACAAGTAATCCACCAAAAATCAGTTAAATTAACATGAAATCAAGGTTTTAATTTCACACAATCATGCTCTGATACCAAATGTAAGCACTAACCCAAGATCATTATGTGAAAATCAAAACATCATACATGAATCGAAGAGATTAGGCATACCTATTTAGGGAGTCATCATGAAATCGCGGAAGCGAAACAATCCCTGAAGTGGCTATGGTCTTCCTTTTCGTTTTTCTCTCATTAGCAGTTTTTTAATGAGTAGCTACTGTGTAAGAAAAGTGAAGAGGGGACCTTAGCTTTATTAATTAAATAACCCTAGTAACCTTCCTATCAAAGACTTATTGGGCTAAAAGCTGACACAACCGCTATACCATATTGACCCAGTTAGATATGCAAAGCTCATACTTAAGTGATTACATTAAATTAATGGACTCTCATGCTTGTTTTGTATTATGACTAAATCCATCAATCAGTTTTATTAAATTAAAATCACTAATTAATAGTAACCCATTAACGAAAAATTTTAACAAGAAAATCATAGCCCTAAAAACGCAACAAATCCACAAGGAGAACCTTCATATGGGAGGTTCTTGAAACATGCGCAGTAGATATACTAAATGAACAAAAAACAGCAGAAACTAAAGAAGATAATTTGAAACCAAACAAAAGGAACTATAATGATTACAAAACTCTCAGCGATCGAACTGCAAAAAATTAAGATCACTCCAACTAGGTATACAATCACAGCATAGCTTGCATATAATTTCTAAAGTGAAGCCTCAAACTCTTTCTTGAGCCTTGTTTAAACTTACATGTATATCTCTTCTCTTACATAGGCCTTAAACTACCTCGTTATCTTGACAAATATATAGATTTCGTTTCTCTTCAATCTGTAATTCCGAGGTCTGCAGATCTTACTCAACATCAGTACCCGAATATTATAATAGCAATATGAAACATATACATAATCATCATCCTGGCCTGGAATATGGACTTTTGACAGCAAATTAAAGGGATCTCATTTAGTAATGGCTAAGATAATTTCAGTTACTCTTATAAGTTACAATCGCAATATATATAGTACCAAATACTAATATACTTAAAATCGTAGCATACCAAATAACTAAAAGTAATTTTATGCCCATCCTTTCATCGATTGATAGAGCAAATATACAGAATCATCATCATAATTCATGTCAAAAAGCAATGGCAGCCCAAATCCACCATTTTCCAAGGATGATGGATAACTATCCTGGTTGTAGACATTGTCTGCAACAAAGGGCTCACTCCAGAAATCTCCAGTACTGCATTGAGCTTCATATATTTCTGACAAAGAACGGAGACAAATATCTTCCATACCGCCAATAGCATTTAAGCTGGATATAGATCCAGTGTTTGAGCAGACGGAGGACAATTCAGTACTTGAAGGTGTTGCTGGAGACCAGGGTGAACTCTCTAAGATCATATTGGGCGGAGTATCAACAATTAGGACGCTTTCAGCTTCACCTTCAGAATTGTGGGTGGCCTCACTTTGCGAAGTTGAACTAGAGTACTCTTTCCCATCAGGTAATGTTAGATTTCGCTTCGCACGCTTCTTTAGATGAGTGTGCCAGTGGTTCTTTATTTCATTGTCTGTTCTTCCAGGTAAACTTGCAGCGATCGTGGACCATCTGTATGTAAGAAATATATGTCATGAATATTATTTTTTATCCATAAAATGAAGATTACATATATCATATATGCTTGCATAAGCTTACAGAAAATGAAGATTACATATATCATATATTATTATACCGTTCTATATTTTTGTTTGGATTTTGATGTTTATGAACAGATATGTGTAGGACATCTTTGATGCTTTACTTGAATCTGCTTAACTCATTTTTTTTAATAAAATGATTTTGACTTAGAAAAAAAAATGGATCTAACTTGTTTCCAATTTCCTCATGTAATTTCATGATCAAGGCATCTTCTTCTTCAGTGTAGTTCCCGTGTTTTACTTCAGGGCGGAGGTAATTCATCCATCTTAATCTGCAACTCTTTCCGCACCTTTTGAGACCTGGAGAAAATTTAGCAAAATTAGACAACGTTATGAACATGAGGAGAGTGTTTATATGAATTAACTCTTGATTGGATATCATAATTCCAACTATTGCTAAAAGCCTGAAATTAACAATTAATTAGGGTTTTCCTTTAAACAAACAAATCAGCCTAAGAAAAATGCAAAATTGGCCACTTAACTGAAGCTGATCACATAAAAATGCAATTTGTGTATAAAGCCAAGAACAAAAGAAAAGGAAAGAGAATCCAGAAAAATATAAATTCTGTCCTTTTTGATCTCCAAAAGAGATAAAGATCAGAGCAAACCTTGAATCGATATCCAGAAATAATCTTTTCCTTTTATAATTACATTTCAAAACAAGTTAATATGATTGAAACCTAGAAAAGAATTTATTAAAAAAAAAAACCCAAAGTTTTCTCCGTACAATCATAGGAGTACGCTGTAAAATTCTCTCTATTTGAGTATTATAGTAGTAAAAGAGTTAAGAATGAAACTATATACCAGCATACTTAGGAAGTTCACGCCAGTTCCAATGGCCATATCTCAGAATATAAGATCTTAGTTTATGATCTTCTTCAGGACTCCATGCACCTTTCTTCACTCCATTTTTATCATAGAAGGGAGCTCTCACCATCTTCTAGATCTACCTTTTTTTCTCTGATGCTAATTTTCTCTCTTTCGAGGTCAAGTTTCCAAGCACAGCTGTATGGAGTACCACAAATTCAAGATAATGCAAATTGGTTTTCATTTAAATACCCATTACCTTCATTTGAAATTAAACCGTGTTTAGACTAGTGATATCGACTTGCAACCCCCAAACTTGTACTACTAGTTCAAATCTACTCTTTGATTATTAATGCCATTTATTAAGGAACTGAGGCCCTACAGGTACTGACAAAAAATTTCACAATATAGTAATTATTAAAAGAGTGAACGAGGAGACTTCCTAAAATGGTCACATGAGCGTGAAGATATATCTGAAATTTATTAAAATCTATATATATAGATTGAGGGGAATTTGTAGCTAGGTAGTTGACCTTTTCTGCACCTTTTTTTTACCCTCGTGGGGTTAAAAACATCAATCTTCCCATTGACAAAAGGAATTGGTAAGAATTTTAAGAGCTTAATGTTAAAGGTCATATATCTCATGAATCATGACTCGTTTTGTTTGTTTCTAAGTCTTGCTTAATTTCCTATCTTTACATAGTTAAGTTCACATGCAGTTGCTTATTCTTCTTGTAATCAAAATATATTTATATTTATATTTATATTTGTCATAGCAGCATATATGATAGAATTCCGTGTCCGCATATATTCACTAATTTTGTTTCTGTAAATGAATATATCACCATTTGACTCTATTTTCTCTTTACCTTGTTTGGGTATGTTATTAGAATTTCGAATGTCTTTTTTCTCTTCTGGTAATGAAAGTAACAAAATATGGACTTATTTGTATCAGGTTGTATTGAAATTAATTAGAAGTCTAGCCCAAGTATTTTATTTTTAAATAATACCCAAATAAATACTACAATAACAAACTAAGCCATATATTTCATAACTGTAAAATCGACTGTATGAAAGGCTAAAAAAGAAATAATGTTAAGTTGTAGTTTTGAATTTTTTTACGTCACTCATTTCTATTAACAACAATATTTTCATCTACTTCTTTAATCATCATATCATTTTTTATTACTTGTATCCACTTCTTATCTCACATCTATTTAAATATCTTCATCTAAGTTACGTTCATTTTTTCTCATATTGTTTTTAACAACCCAACTAATTCCATATATATCCAACTCGAATAAATACTCAAAAACAAAAATTAATCTTCAATCTTTTATTACATGAAATTAAATTTATGAACTTTTATTTCATTATAATTATATTCATTAAATCTTGAAAATTGACAAATAAAATTCAATTATAAAAATTTTTAAATAACTTTTTTCAAATATTTGTCTTTCAAATCATCCAAATAAATCTAAATAAGTATTTTTATAAATTACATCATCCAACTAAAAAATCGAATATTTTAAAATTTCATGATTTTAATTAAAAAGAATAAAAGTTAATAATTTTAATTCCATGAAAAAAAATAAAAAATTTACTTATATTTTGAATAACATTCACAGTCATATTAGGATATATATATATATATGTATATATATTAGCTTTTGGCATAATGCACCTTCATTTTTTTTTTTCTTAATGACAAGTAATTCAAATTATTTTTGGGTTGACTGACAGTTCTGCTGCATTTTTTTTTATTCCTTAACAGTTGGTGTTGGCATACATATTTAGAATATATCTTCAATTATCAAATTATCAAAGGCTTTCTAGTCATGCCCAAAAAAAAAAAGGTTTGACCAAATAAACAATGACTCAATTCTTCTTGATTCCATTAATATTCTCGATGCAATCTAGCTATGATCAAAGTTGTTTAGAAACAAAAACAATAAAAAAATTTGACTTGTTTAGGGGTCAAGACAAACAGAGTGGAGCAGGCAGACAGATCAGAAGATATTTAATCTCCTATATTTGAAGCTTTTGATCTTATAGTTTTATCTATATTATTTGTCTATTTGGTATGAAAACAATTTTATTGGACAATTTAAAGTGAGATATATTAATGTATAACGGGTTAATTTATTTAAAAATACAATGTTTAAAATTGAAATAATAAATTCCTGCTATATAAGAAAGTATAGATAAATAGTAGGAAAAAAATAAGAAAGATAAAAAAAAAAAGCTGTTCGATTTCCATTTTATTGACAGCTTATGTTGCTGTTTACGCGGTTCCAAAGTCAAAATATATGGACTAATCAACCATAGTTAGGAGGGAAAAAGTCATATCTACATAGTAAAAAATCAATGTTTTCAATATTATGTTTTTATTGTTTTTAACGTATTTGATTCTCATGTTGAAATACTTTTCAACATTTCCCCACAGAGATAAACACTTCTTTTGCGTTTGACTATACTACTTTTGATTTACCTGATTTCATATGATTACTGGAATCCAAGAAATTTTGTCTTTAACAAAGGATGATTAGATTTCTTTTCCCAAGAAAAAGTCATGATTGGATTAGATTTACAGTCGTTAGTTTTTCACTAAAAAAATGCACAAAATTATTCATCAAAATTTAATTCAATAATTAATATAATTTTTATTAAAAAACAAAATTATAATATCCCTTCCTTATACCAAAAATTATACATGGATCAAAGAGGTAGATAAACAAAATTATAAAACAATTAAAAGGAAGCTGCAGTAGTTTTTATTACTTTACTTGCGAGTCTCTTTTGCTCTTTAATTTTTGCAACCATGTAAGGATTCCAGATGACGCTAGGAAATGGAACGTGTATGAGCTAAGCAGGTGACATCAGCTGCTGTTGACGTAAGCAATAATTAAAACGACTTGGAATTCAAATGGTTTCATCTCACACCTGTTACATTTAATGGTGTGGGCCATCTTTAACCATATTAAAAAAATAATAATAATAACAATAAATAAATAAATAATTTTAATGATTTTTTTTTAGTATTTAGTATATTATAAAAAAAAATTAAAAGGAAGCTACTGTAGTATTTATTACTTTACTTGCGAGCCTCTTTTGCTCTTTAATTTTTACCACCATGTAAGATGACGCTAGGAAACGGAGCGTGATGAGCTAAGCAGATGACATCAGCTGCGTTGATGTAAGCAATAATTAAAGCAACTTGGAATTCTATATCATATTAAATGGTTTAATTTCACACCTGCTGCATTTAATGGTATTGGCCATCAACTAGGACTTCTTTAATTATATTAAATTAATAATAATAATAAATAAACAAAATTTTTGAATGAATTTTTTTTAGTATTGAGTATATTTATTTGTGCTCGAACGCTAAAATTGTACCGGTTGGTGTTGGGAAAAAATATATTTTTGTTGATTATTGTTGTCTTTAAATTTTCATTATCCATATTTAAACTATATACGAAAAATGTTAATCATTTAGTAAGATGATATTTATAGCTAAAATGGTTTAGTTAATTTTTTTACGAGTTGATTTTAATATTTGTAATTTTTTGTCAATTTCTTCTTTTTTTTATAAAATAAACATATATTTTATTTTTTTTATTTTATTTTTTTAATCTCTAACCTTAATTTACTAAAAAATCTAAAATATATTACATACATGAATTCTCTTGATTTTATAATTTAAAAAAGTTTATGAAATATACATGTTATTTGGATTAATGCTTAATTAAAAATAAAAAAACTATTTGATTTTTGGTAAAATTTAGGGATAGATAAATTGCTCAATTTCTAGATCAAAGTAAAATATACTATACTTGATAGCATAATATAGGTTACTGCAAGTCATATATTTGAGATGATCTCAACAAGTGGTCACCAACAGGCTATTTGGTTTTTGATAAAATTTAGGAGTAGATAAATTATTCAATTCTATATCAAAGTAAGATATGTTATACCTAACAGTATAATATAAGTGACTATAAATCGTGCATTCGAGGTCTCAACAAACGGTCATCAACAAGACTCGAACTTAAAATTTTTTAATAAAAAAAAATAAGCCTTAACCAATTGAATTAACATCTTATTAGTAAATATCATACTAATATTTGATTTGATGAGTTTAGCACACACGTCTTTTTTCTTTTATTATTGAAATATATCATTTATTTTAATTGTGAGGATGGCTTCCATAGTTACGCTAACGATTATATTAATAATGAAATTTATATTTAAAAATAAATGTAACAGCCGAAGTGATGTTAAGCATGAGAAATAAAAATAATTATTAAATATATTATATTAAAATTTATATAGAATAAAATTTTTTGTATATATTTGATACTTATGAAATCAATAAAATTATTTAGCATAAAATAATACTTTGTTGAATGATTAAAAATGAGTAAGATTCTTTTCACATCAAAAAATACTTTTGTTACTAAATATTTGAAAATTAATTATATATTTTTTAATGTTATTTAATATTAAAAATATTTAAAAATTTATATAATAAATGGTGATAAAATAATATATTTAGGATTTTGAGTAATGAAAAATTTTTATAATTATATGTCATAAACATAAAAGAATAATTTATATAAAAATTTACTTGTATGTAAACTTATTTATACTTTATATAAATGCAAAATTGAAAACTTAAAATGAACAAAAAAATGAACAAAAAAATAAAGCATGAGGGAAGAAGAGAAAGTGAAATAGCTAAAAAATTTTAAGTTAAAAAATAAATTACTAGAATGAAAAAATAAATGTTGAAACTTTTTTTTGTTGTTATACTTTCAAAATATAGTGAAAGATAATTGATTATATATGATGTTTAATCAATGGAATGAAAAACTAGTGATTAATGGTCTATTTGGATGAATTGTGAGATTAATTCCAATGAAAATGAAAATATCGATAGAGGTGAGATTAGTTATAGTAAGGTAAAATTAAAATCAATAGTAGAATATTCGTTTGGATATAAACATAATGATGATAGTGGGGTAAATTGTAAAGAAAAATAAAAATGACCATTAAAGTGATTAGTTTAAAATTTGTATAAAATAAAAAATTTTAATTATTTATTATTGATTAATATATCAAATAAATAATTAAAAATTAATAAAAATAGTTGTAATAAATCAAGTAATTTTTTAAAAAAATTGATAATAATATTTTTACACAAATTGAAATTTACAAAATAATTTTCAATTATTTATTATTTTTTACACTTATTTACATTATAT